AACCCCGAATCAGGTGGAGATGACATTGATATGTGCGGCTGGCAAGTTGCAGTGGCTTGATCACTTGGATGGCGACAGCGCGCTACACTGACCTGACACTGACCACCTGATCTCATGTGTCCGTCACCGAGCGTCCTGCTCTTCCTGCACGACGCACATCCTGCCCACTCTACAAACAGGTTTGACGCATGCGGTGTTTTGTGAATGCAGCGCATCCCCAGCATTTGCTCAGCGACGCCTGCTGTGGGGAAACACCGCAGAGCTGGTCAATGTTCGTTTCTTGCGCACTAGGCCCTCTACGATCGATGCCCATCACAGCAGCCCAAGGGCAGGGTGGTGGAGGCCCCGAAAGCACAACTCAACAAAACACAGGGACAACACAAGTGTTCTTCAACTACCTTGGCGATGTAGTCGGCCTTCGCCATTTCAACGGGCACGCATACCTAGGTAACTCGTAACAAGTGGGTCAGTGGGCGGCAAGCAGTGGGGTGCTCAAAGCGAGTCGTGTGTCCCTGCTCCCCATACGTGCTCCACCAGGTAATGATACAAAAGCCACGTCAGAGTAGACACTGAGGGGCCTCGTACTGCTCAAACCAAGGTTGCAGTGGTGGTGGCATCACCAGCTTTCAAGCGCTCAAGTCTGTTGCTTCTGAGCGTTGCTGGGACTGGCACTGGCTGAAGGTTCACTTTCGTGGGCTTGGGCATGGCATAGCATGGCAGGCAGGCAGGCACCTGCAGCCTGTCAACGTGCACAGGAGCACAACGAGGCAAGTAGGCAAGTATCACAACGTCGCTGGCCTGTACATTTTCGGTTCTGGTACAAAAGGCCTGGAGGGAAGCAGGCACATCCCATGTATTTCACATCTACCCGTCAACTTGAGGCGCTTCATGATACCATACAAGCGAGTGTACATTACTTGTGCCTCTCCAGGAACGAACACAGCAGGAAATGGCCACCGTACGCATCTCATCCCTTGTGTGTTCCTGTGATGGATCACGTATTGATATATGTGTACAAGAAACATTCAATAATGAGCTTCTATTGAGATCTGACGAACATACTCTCAAAAACGATCACTGCGTAAAATCAATCACACCGCATGATTATGGTATCGTAAAGGCAACAGAACGTGAGCAGCAGCAGCATTCGGCCAGCGGTCGCCGCAGCAAAGTTGGCGGCATGCGTGCGGCACGCTCGCCCCAGGCGCCACTGACGCCCTGCTGCCCATCGGCGCCGTGCTCCTCCTCAGCCCTGGCTCAATTGCCGAAACAGCTGCTGATTATGTTTATGCTGCTGATGATGCTGCTGCTATTGCCTCCAAGCCCCGGCGCGTGTGCTGCCAGCACGGGCCAACCGTCCCCGCCCAGCTCACCGTCGCCGGACTCACTCTGCAGCAAGGCCGGCGCCTTCCCAGCAGCCTCCGTCCCCAGCGGCATGACGTGGGCGGGGAACATCCTCAAGGTGTACCATAACCTGTATCACCACAACGGCAAGTGGTACGTGGTGACTGGGCCCGGGTCGAATGAGTCTGAGGTTGATACCGGCATGTCACTCAACACGCAAGTCATCAAGCTCCCCGCGGCTGACGTGCCTGCCTTCCAGGCCAACCTCAAGAAGGTGATTTTGGAGAGAATAGATATTGTTTCATTGTTTGAGCGTGTGCATGTGAGGATGTGTGTGTGCATGTGTGTGCACCTGTGCTACGTGTGTGTGTGTGTGTGTGTGTGTGTATATGTGTGTGCGCGCGCGCGCTCGCGTGCGTGTGTGTGTGTGTGAGAGAGAAAGAGAGAGAGAGAGAGAGAGAGAGAGAGAGAGACAGAGAGAGAGGGTTAGAAAAAGAGAGAGGGGGAAGGGGGCATGCATTCGAATTCTGCTGTGTGTGATGAGTGCAGCACTCAGGGGAGGGGGGTGGGGTGGCCAGGATGAGGCTCTGCTGGTGGCTGGCAGGTGAAGCGCCAAGCATTGCCAAGCGGCCAAGTTCTTGCACCTCGAATTTGCTGCCGCCGCCCACATACACACGTGCGCGCGTTATATTGAAAACATCACACATCACACATACGCATGCACACACAGGACACACACTTACACACACCTTCTACACACCCACTCAAAGGTCTGCTATGTTAGTGGTGTCACCCTCCACATCGACTTCCCATTCCCCGGTTACCCCGACAACCTCGGGCACTGGGCCGAGGTCATGTGGCCGACCTACAGCGCCCTCTCGGAGCCTGGCTGGGCGCGTGCATTGCGGCGGCGCGGCGGCGGCAGCGGCGGCGACGATGAGCAGCAGCAGCAGCATCAAGAGGATGGCAGAGAGGGCGTGATCCATCGTGTGCTGCTGGCCAACATTGGGGCAAAAATGCTCGATTGGTTCAGAGAGACCCTCTCCCTCGCCGTGGCCCCGGCGCTGCCGCCGTCGGCGCCGCGCGGCGGCCTGCCACCGCTGCTCGAAGAGGCATCCATAGAGGGATTTGCAAGGCACAGGTGATGGGGCCGCGCGAGCGCGCGCGCACGCATCGTCCCCGTGTGCTTGTGCCCCTCGCGGGTGCGACGATGTCATGCTCGCAGCTGCATCGCACGTCTGCCTGACGCCCAAACTCGTGCAGATTGGTATGGCCTCGTGAGTGCCTGACCTTGTTTCGCCAACGGGTGTCACGCCCACGCCCATCGACCCGCTGAATTGGTGTGTGCGTGCCTTCAGGTGGTTGTTGTTTGAGCATGTGGCTGTGGTGCAGGACAGGTACCCACTTCTGCAGGACCTGGCCCGAGAGCCCTGGCTCGAGGCAACCCGCGCCGCCGCGGGGCCGGCCGCGGGGCCCCTGGTTCAGAATGCATTCAAGACTGGCTTCTCCACGCCCAAGGCGGCCGCGCGGCTGCGCTCTGCCGCGGCCGCGCGCCACGGCTGGCCGCTTGAGGCGGCGCGCGGCGGGCGGCGGCGGCGCGGCGGCGGCGGGGGAGGCTGCAAGGCCGGGGGCAGCGGCGGCGACGGCGGAGCGTGCGGCGATGGCGGGGCAGCGGAGCGCGATGACGGTGGTGAGCAGCAGGCTGGCGGCGGCGACGCGGAGCACTGGGAGGCGGGTGGACAGTTGCCAGCGCCGCCGCGGGTGGTGACGGTGATGCTGGACCCAGATCACTATCCCCCAATCACCAATTTTCAAGCGCTGGTTGAGAGGTTGGAGGATGTCACAGCACCATTGGGGTTCAAGGTGGGGAGTGTGCAAGGTCGGGAAATAGATGTGCTCGGATTTCTGGATATGTGTAAATCCAACTGGGATGTGGAGATAACGTGCTTGTACAGGTGTGTGCGCACATTCTTTTGTTTTTGTGGATGTGCTTCTGCCCGTGTGCGTGAATGTGCGCGCCTCTGCGTGTCTGCATGTGCGCCTGTGCGCAGATGTTGTGCATTCGAGGCATCTGCGCAACTCAGGCCGTCACCTTAAAGGCTTTTAGGGCTGCCCCTCGTACTGCAACATCCCTTTTTCAATCTCCCCACCTGATTACCACCCCTCCCCAAACCCTTGGCGCTACTGCTCTCTCTGCCAGGTGCGAGTGACGTCACTCACAATGGAGGCGCCCTTCCTCTCGCACATGGCCGCGATGGCGGAAACTGGCCTGCTGGTCGCGCGACACGGGCCGATCCTCGCCTCCGCCGTCATGTTGCCGCCAGGTGTGTGTGTGTGTGTGTTTGAGTGTGTGCATGTGAGTGCAATTGTGTGTGTACGTTTGCGTGCAAGAGTGTGTGTGAGTGTGTGTGCGCGCGCTCGTGTGTGTGTGTGTGTGTGTGTGTATGTGTGTGTGTGTGTGTGCGCGCGCGTGTGTGTGTGTGCACGTGCGCGTACGCGCACACCTGTGATTTTGCACACACACACACACACACACACAATGCGTGCCGGCTGAAACTGTGCTCAAGGGCGCCGCCTGCCCCTGGCTGTCTTCCATGCTGTATGTAGTGTCCTGGAGCCCTCCCTCGATGCCTTGTGGAGTGGCGTCCTGAGCCGTGGGGCGGGGCCTCATCGAATCGGCCAGCTGTCATCCCCTCTCTGCTACCTCTCAAGCCCCTCTCGCACACCAGCGCACGCTCCACACACCCTTGCAATCCGACCCGGTCCCCTTGCCCCTCCATGCGTGCACACCCGCAACCCCCATCCGCAGGCGCTGCGGTGCTGGAGCTGCTACCCTACAAATGGGACTGGCGAAACATGAGCAGCCTGTACAAAAACATGACGGCGACTACGGGGACAATCCACCATTTTGCATGGCGCCCGACCGACGCCAAATGGTGCAGGTGAGCGCGGCTGTGCGCTGGTGAGGGATCTTCTGCGCCCGCGGCTGAGGAGGGCGCTGCATTGGGTCAGGCAGCATGAGTTTGAGTTGACAGCACCATGTGGGTATGCGAGGGCTGGCGCCGAAACCTGCTTGCAATTTTTTGTGTGTGTCAGACCAGGCGCAATGGAAACTGCTCGCCCGCAGGTACGCCAGCGAGGCGGACCGACTGAGGTACTCTGACTGGAGTGGCAGCGAGTGCAGCAAACGCGAGTGCCTGGAGGTCCACGCAAAGGCCGGTCTGGAGGTCGACCTGGGGGCTGTGGAGCAGCTGCTCAGGCGGAAGCTGCCGACGGTGCTGAGGGGGGAGCCAGTCGAGGCGCTGGAGGAGCCGTGGCCGGCGTCTGAATGAATGAGTAGAGTGACGCCACCGCCAGCCTGGCTCAGTGCAGAATCAACCAGACTTGCACATGTGTGTGTGTGTGTGTGTGTGTGTGTTTGTGTGTGTGTGCGCTTGTGTGCACACGCATTTGTGCGCGTTACAGATGTTTCCGTATACACATTCCCGCGCACTGAAGCACTTGTCAATGACTGACCTGCCACTCCACTTAGACAGGACAGTGCTGCAATCAGCAAACATAGGAGTAATAACACAGGTTGGTGAAAAAAAGTGAATGAATGCAAGTTTGTGGGTCGGGCTCCAGACCAAAGCGAATCGAGGGCAAAACCGCTGCCGTCAGCTGCCAGGCTGTGCCTGCTGCTCGGCGGGTTCGTGGGGCTGGTGATGGTGGTGATGGAGAGCCCGCTCCTCCAGAATCTCCTGCGCAGCCTCTTCCCGCACCTGCGCCTCCACCGCCACTCCTGCCGCCGCATCTGCCGCCGGGCGTGCCTCGCTCTCGGGTGAGACGCCGCCGCTGCCGCCGCCGCCGCTGCCCTCGCTGCCGCCGCCGCCGCCGCTATGCGACGGCGGCTCGCCGCCGCCCTCGCGCGACGCGTCGCGGGCGTCCGCCTCCGCTTTCATATCTTCGAGGAGGGCGTCGAAAACCTCTTTGTTCTGCTCCATACACTGATGCAGCGCCTCGTACTGTGTTTGTGATGTTTGTCCCAGCAGCAACAGCGGTGTGTGAGGGACTGCTGAGAGACACCTGCGGTGGCTGCGCAGCCCCCTTCGGCTGAGGATGCGATGCCCCATGTTCGTTCATATGCTTGTCATTGCGCAGGCCAGGGGCATGCGGCGTCCGCGCAGCGGCGGGGCGCACTTTCAGGAAGTGTGCAGCCGCTGCACACTTGTGCGGGCTGTGTTGCAAGGGCACGGCGCGGTGGGGACTGCCCCGCGGCCGCCCGCAGGTTGACAGGGGAGGGCTCACCAGCGGCAGGCACGCGCCCATGTCCTTGTCGCTCTTATCAGCCTTCTCGCCGCAGTCCATGAATGCCTGTTTGGTCGTGCGTGAGGGAGAGGGACGCTCGGCGCGGCTCGAGCTGCCGGGATGAGGTGCTCCGAGGTGCGCACTGCAATCCAGGTGGCAAGCTGTGCAGCTGGGAGGGAGCCGAGGTTACCAAGGCGACCAGCCTCCATCGCACTTCGTCAAGCTGAGTGTGGAGGGGACTGCACATTCAGACGATTCGAGTGGCGGGTAGTCCGCCACACCACCAACGCGCCCGGCCCGCCTGCGCCGCACACCTGAAACGGCGCCTCACAGCCACCTTTCCGCATCATGACGCAGAATGGGCACTCGCGAGGCGCATCCTGTTCGCTGAGAGTTTCCTCTCCATTCCCTTGCCGCTCCTGTGCCGACGGTGCCGGCTGATCGGACATAGTTCGACGGTGATCTCGGGAGGTGACAAAAGCGCTTTAGCTGGCGCAAATGCGCGCAATTGAGCTTCACTGTGGTACTCGTGCAAAGACAATGTTGTGGCTGTTCAGGCGCGTCTTCTCGGCGCCGTCACCGCAGCTACTGTACTCCGTCCTCACCCAGATTTTGCTGCTGCTTGATGAGTTCAGTGTAGACACTGTCGCCGCTCCCACCAACCTTCATCAATAATATCTGCACGGCCCATGCTATCGAATATGTTGCAAGTGTGGCACTGCAAACGCGTGTCACGCCCTGGGCGCCCACCACCCGCGCGGTTGACCTTGGTGCAAGGGGGGCCTCTCCCAGCCGTCGGTGCCAGGACCTCATACTTGAGTTACGTATCTTCTCGATGGAATGTGGACCTCACGCCTGCGGGGGCAGCAGCGGGCGGCCTCAAAAGCCTTGCCGCCTGGGACGCCTTCTTATGAGCAGGTTTGGCCACGCTGCGTGGCGGTGACGCATGAGCGGCCTCGCTTAAGCAGTCCCGCCAAATTATCGGCAAGCAAATTTCACTGTGTAGGCCGCTGCTGTTGGAGACCGTCCACCACCAGGCAGATGCACGCTCAGCCGCGAGGCACCTTCCCGTCGCCTCGCGGCATGCGGCCGGGCGTTTGACGTTGCGTCCGCGCCCTTATGTTGCGGAGCACGCATTCTATGTCCCATTCCCCCTTCCTGTCCCTCCAGGCTTTCCACCGGGCTCTCACGCCCTCCCCTCCACGCTTCACCCCTCTCCGTGCCCATCTCCCAGCGAGCCTCGACCTCAGTCGTCCTCGCCCAACCATCCCCCTCTCCACAGCCTAAAAACCATCCTTATCACCCTATTTCTTGTTTGTAGCAACAAACACATCTCCTAGACACACGCGCGGGACTCTCGCGGCGTCCTCTTCCCCAGTGCCACCGACGCTTTGATATACGCAAATGTCTCCCATTCCCGAGTCTCATTACGGACGTGTGGAGGCCCTGAACCTGCCTCGCCTCAGCTGGGCCGCCTTTGCTGGTGAGCGAGCGTCGAGAGGCTGCACGCGCAGCTGCCGCCGCAGCGCCTCGAGCATCGGGACAGCAAGCGTGTCTGCATCGCCCTGCTGCGGCCTGCATCTTGCCTGTTGTTGCCAGGCTTGTGCTGCAATTCCGTGTTAAGGCCGGCCTCAGCAGCCCACGGTCCTCAAATACACGCACGGCTTCCACACCCTCAGGGTGTGCCCCATCAGGCTGATGGGGCATCACCCCACCTCAGCGACCCACCCCTAGCCCCCCTGTGCCTCACCTCAAACCCCTCGCGTCTGCTCGCCCGCGGTCGCGCAGGCGACGCCGCCGCGGTGCGCCGGTGCCTGCAGGAGGGCGAGGAGATCCACCAGACTGTGTCCCTGGTCAACCAGAACAAGCAGGAGGTGCACGGCATCACCCCCCTCTACCTGGCGAGTCATCACCCGGCTGGGTTCAGAGCAGTGGGGATCGGGGGGCTTTCGAGCCGGCTGCGAGCCAAAAAAAAGTGGTATCAGAGGATGCCCAGGCATGCACAAGCCGCGCCGCTGTTTGGGAGTGGGGAGTTGAAGGCCGAGGGCGAGAAGCTGGCGCAAGACTGGCGCCTGGAGAATTAGATGCCCGCTCCGCGCCGACCCGCAAACACCGTTCTGTTTGATACGACCCGCAGGCGGCCCAGAACGGCCACCTCGACGTGTGCCGTGAGCTCCTCAATGCGGGTGCGGACGTGCTGCGCGGCTGCTCCATCCCCGCGACCGGCGAGTCGTTTGGGCCCACCGGTGAGCGACGCGCGACGGGCCCGGCCGCAGCTTGGCTTTCGGCTCGCGCCAGCACAGCCGCACAACCACGCCCCACAAGCCATCTTGTGTCGTCCAAGTCACCACCATTTTCGACCCCTCTCAGTGTGTCTCTGTTTCAACACCACAAGTGTCCCTGCCTGTTGCCCCGTGCACCGATTCAGCGCTGTATGGCGTGCGCGCCACTCAGACGTTCCCGCGGTGTGTGTTCTGTCCCCCGCGCAGACATTGCCCTGATTCACTTCCACCTGCGCACCTGGTGGCTGCTGAATGATGCAAAGGCCAAGCGCTGCAGCAAGCTTGCCGGGCGCCGCTCGATGAAGCACGGGGCGCACCTGGCGCAGCCGCTGATTGCGGAGGGGGCACAGCTCAGCAGCGGCGGCGCGCTGATGATCTGAGCACCTGTGGTCTGAGCGGAGAGCTTCAGCTTAGCCCTCAACAAGTTGGGACTAGTGTCTCACCTTGCTTGGTGATTCTAGCCTCGATTAAAGGTGTTGCAATGAAGTAGTTTGATCCAAACAAACCAGTTGTGTTGGGGCAAATATGCATGCAATCACACACGCCAGTTGGCTGCACCATCGGCTGCTCTGTCACTGATCGTTGACGGTCAACAGCACGCGCCGTGAGTGCGCCTCCTTGCCCCTTGGGCTCGTCCCGGTGTTTGAAATCTGGTTGTTTTCTGGCTTAGCCGTTGCGGCAGCCCCATCTGGTGCCATCTGTTGTACATCACCGCTGACCTTCGTTCCCTCACTCACCCCCCCCCCCCCCCCCACACACACACACACAGCGCTTGAGCGCACGGCTGTGCCGCTCGGCATGTCCCTTGATGTCGACTTCGCGATGATTTGTGTCCGTGGTGCATTCGGCATTAGTTGCCACCAGCTGTCGTAGACAGGGGGGCTTGCTTGCATTCGAGGCCACCCCCAGTCCGCACTGCTTGTAATTGTTCATCCAAGGAGCGAACGAGCGTGCCGTCTGGCCTGGTTGATTTGACACCCGTCTGATGGCGAATTGGCTGCCAGCTGAGCTGATCCTACGGGGCCATCAAGCAAGTGCAGACGGCACGCGCGCACAAGGGCCACAAGCCACGGCCTCAGCGCAGCGCCTGCGGCGCACTCAGTGCGGTGACAGGTGGGCCAGTAGGGCCTGGCACGTCGCACGACCTTGCAGGCATGAGGATGGGTGTTCCATGGGTCTCTCATGGAACGCGCATGCAAGCGTGGCATTGAGTTTATGTGAAACGTGTGAATGATGGCTGTTAGTTGGTGGTTGATCTGGGGCGCCGTGGTGGTGGTCGGCGCAGACTGAGCGCCACTTGCCGCGCAAAACAGCGGTTGGATACTTTCACAAGTGTGAGAAGATCAACCAGCCCAGCAGAGACATTGACGGAAATGGACGTGCAAACCACATCAACCAAAGCAGGGGAAGGTTGAGGAACGGGAAGCAACTGGACTCGGTATCAAGCCGCACGCACCACAGCGGCAGAGCACACCTGGCACGCTGGTCAGAGGCATCGGGCTGGTGCCAAGGCGACGTAATGGTGCCCGCTGTACTGCCGCGGAACATTCGCATGATTGGCTGATGGTCTTGCGTACTCATGAAGACTTCGGTGATTCCTCCTTGCACGTCATTCATCATCAATCTGATCAGGCGCATTACCGCAGGACGCTCAGACCCGGCTGCTTGGTCTGGGGAGTAGCCCACATCCTACGCCCTGCAACAAGACATCGCACACGGCCATCAAGGCCGCTCAATACCTCACGCTCAGAAGCGCAACTGCGTTCACCCCGAATTTTCTGCCCGAACCCGCAGCGCCATCGTGTTGGACGCTCGGATTGCCGATCGGATTGCGTGCACCCACGGGAAAAAGAGAGTCCAGTCACGTTATCTCCAGTGTGGCAAGAGCGATCACCGCAATCAGGCGGTGCAGGCACCCGGTTGGCAGTCTAGCCGCCAGAGCCACCAGATCACTACCACACCGAGCGCGCAGGCGCACGCCGGGTGACGCTCGAGCGCAGCCGCCTGTACGCACGCGCCTGTGGAGCCGGGCCGGCGGCAGGCCCAGCAGCAGCCGCAGGGATGGCTGACATCGCTGATACCCCCGGGTGGAGGACTGGTGAGATCTCCTGAACCCTGCAGCGTTTCCTGCTAGCCGTTCGCCCGGGGGAGGGGGGAGCTGGGGCACCCCTGACGCTCCCCGGGACTCGCTGCACCAGCCATGTTGGACCCAGGGATGCGGCTTCTGCGTTGCGCGAAATCTTGCGCATGCTACGCAGCCGAGATCTGGCGCCCTTGCCCATGCGAGACTCCTGCACAGACCAACGATGGCGCGACACATCAGTCTGCATCTTCGCCCATGCCCTCTGTCCCGAACTCAACCCCCGACAGGCCTGCTGTTTCTGCTGTTCGCATTCATATCGGTGAGCCTGATCAGGAGCTTGGTCCTTTGTTTACGTCTCGCCCGCGGGAGTCCCTTCTCTCGCAACACGCCTGCCGCTAGGCGGCAGGGACAAGGGGACCGAATTTAAGCCGACGCGCATCTGGCAGTAGCCACGCAGCCACAGAGGCGCGGTTTCCCGCGGCGTCAGAAAGTCGAGCTCCCAATAAAATGCGTTGGTGCTATCAACCCACACCTCTGTGCGCCAGCCGTCACCCGGCCTGACCCCTTGCGCAGCCTAGATACCCTCCCACCATAGCTGACTCACAGCAACCCTGCTGCCAGACCCATCATCACAACAACTCAAAGCGTGTCTTGAACCCTCAAATTAAATTGCACAAAATCACAGGTGCTCCTGGAGCACGGCACAGAGTGGCTGGAGCACCGCTGGTCACAGCGCCGCGGCACCTCGCGGTCAAACGGGCTCATAACGATGTTGACCTTCATAAAGCAGGAGCTCTTCCTGCTGGGCCTGATAAGCATGTTGCTGACGGCTGTCCAAGGCAGCATGCTGAAGATCTGGTGAGGGAACGACTGCGGATGATGACGTCGTGTGATGTTTCGCATGCCTTGAGGGGTCTCGGCACAGCGCACTGATCCCCCCCACGACCTCAACCAGCCCGACACGACCGCCCCGCAGCCCGCACAGCGGGCTATTTCTGACCTGAATTCATGCGAAGTCCTTTTTTGAAGGGGTTTTGTGCGAACCTGCAGAGCCATTCTTACACCATGGCGCTTGACCCTGTGTAAGCAACCGCCTCCGCCTGCAATCTGGCGCACAGCATTCCGGACGGCGTGGCAGCTTATGGGCTCAACTGGAAACCTCAGAGCAAGGTGCCCGTGTTTATAGACGAATCCATCGAGTACAGCACGAGTTACATGGAGGACGAGGCGTCAAAGGACGGGCGCCGCCTGCTGGGGCTCCTCGGCCGCCACCTGCTGGGCGGGCCGCCCAAGGTGGGGCCGCACCACGCTGCTGCAGGGTCGGTCGGCCCATCGCTGCTACCAGCTGTGTGCTCAAAGTGACAGAGAGAACGTGCAGCGGTCGCTCTCAAGAACAACTGGCCAGTGTGTGTATGCTGGCCGCTGCTCGTGTCAAGATCCTTGATGATCATGTGGACTAATTCCAGCCCTTGTGGTTCAGCAAATCCTGCCCGCACCTCCACTTGAAACAAGTGCACATGGTTATCCCCCCGCCCTGCACACCAGGGTGACTACAACAAGTGTGGCAAAGGGCGACAGCCGCTCTTCAGCGCTTACATGATGCACCAGGTGACTCATCAAGTGGCGACGCAGCTCCCGGGCACCCGCCGGGTGCATCAGTGATTTGGGAGCGGTGTGGATTGTAAGCTGACTGCCAGTGCGCACAAAGGGCGCAACTAAAGTCTTTGAGCTCGATATGCGCGCCAGGTGATTGAGGTATAGCCCTGTCTCTCGTGCATCTGCATCAGCAGCGCAGCCTGCTTCCCTCCATCTGCCCCAGCAGCACCCACCGCTGCCCCACGCCGCCCAGTATACTCATCCCCCCTCAGCCCTTGCAGTATTCTTTCTTGCAGTACAACAATATGGTACGACCCAACACGTGCTAACTCGCCCAGGTCCACCTGTTGATCTTCCTATTTGCTGTGGTGCACGTCCTGTATGTCTTTGGGACCCTCATGATCTGCCTAGTGCAGGTGGGCTCTGCTTTGTTTATACAACAGGCAATGGGCGGGGTGAGGTTTCGGGGTTCAGGATCACTTCTTGCATCAGAGGAGTCCCCGGCTTGCGGCCGCGCGGTGTTGGGTACAGCATGCCCTTGCACGGTTGAGCCTCCAGCGTTTGACCTGGCCACCTGCGTGTGGGTGCCCTGTGCAGGCCTGCCCGCATCCTGTGGGCGGCACACATTGGGTCCGTCGCCGAGGGGCTGGTCTCTTGTTGCAACACGGCCCTTGTCTTGCTGAATCAGTCTTGAACGCATACGCCTCAATCCTCCCCAACCCCAGATCCGCCAATGGCGCCGCTGGGAAGCGGAGGCGCCCGCCGCAGACGCCTTCCTCCGGATGAGCGACATCACGGCTCCCTCGCCGCGCGCGCCGCCGAGCCGCGCCGGCGGCGGGGCGCGCGCAGAGCGTGCGACCAGGCGAGCCCGCGCGAGCGCCAAGGCGCTCTGGGTGCGCGTTGGCTCCTCGGGCCTGGCGCATGCCGGCCGCGTCGCACTGGCCGTGGTGACCTCGGACCTCGTTTTCAGCCCAGTGACGCGTGCGGTCTACTACAGCCTGCGGCTGCTATTCATCGCCCGCCTCAACTTGGACCAATCCTTTGACTTTGCGGCGTTCGTTGAGAGGTGATTGGCTGTTGCGAGCTGTGCAGCGCAAGCTTGAATTTACCTTAGCCTGCCTTGCAGCAAATCCCACGTCTCAACGGCGATCCCATCACCCCCGCCTCGCTGAATTCGCCTCCCATGTGTACGATGCAAACCAAACGCCCGAGCATATGGCACTTCTCCTCCATGCAGCCCATCATTATCCATGCTGGACCTGGTTTGCCCCACACCAGCAGCAAGCATGGTTTGTGGTTCACGCAATACGTCCAATCCAATACGTTCCTGAGCTTGCCCATATGCAAACCTCCTCACCTCATGTCAGGTCTATCGAGGAGCACCTGCCCCACTTGATGAAGCTGAACGCCGCGATGATGTGCCTCGCGGCCGCCCTGTTGTCGTTCCCGTTCCCAGCCTACCTGCCGTACTGGCTGTTTGGGCTGAGCGTGGTCACAGAGTTCGTGCTGGCCGGGAAGCTGGCCAGCATCAGCACGCTCGCGGCGGCGCAGGTGTGCGGGCGTGCGCGTGCGCGCATGTGTGTGTGTGTTTGTGTGTGTGTGCGTGCGTGCGTGCGTGCGTGCGTGCGTGCGTGCGTACATGCGCGTGCACGCGCGCATGCACGCACATGTGTGCTCATTGGGATGATCTGGGGTGCAAAATCTTATTGCAGAAGCCCACGGAGCAGCCATAAGCAAGCCCCACCGCGTGCCTTCCGGCCTGCACCCACCGGCCAACCCACCCAGGCCTTGGTCCAATTTGGGGAAGCGTACGAGTTTGGCTGCTTCAAGGACGATGGCTGCGGCAACAACAACGCCGGCGGCGACTGCAACACCGACGTTGCGATCGGCTCAGGCCCTGAGGACAGCGGAAAACTGGAAATCAAGATCGAGCCCCCCGCCGCCGCCGTGACAGCTGCCGTCCGCGGCGCCACTGACGGTCTTGCTTCGCACAATCTCGGCCCCTTTGCCCCTGCGCACTTGAGCGCCCCTGCACACTTGCGCCCCCCTGCGCACTTGCGTGCCCCTGCGCACTTGGGCGCCACCGCGCCAGCCGCCGCCGTTTCGGCCGGCAAGACTGCTGATCCCCGGCCGCGCTCCCCACGTGCGCGGCCAACAGGCGGTGAGGGGATCGCCGTCCAGGGGCCCACAGATGACGTAGCGCAGGGGCCCAGCCTGCATTTCGACGAGCCCTCTCTCAGACTCGCCCCGCTCGGCAGCCTCCGGCCCGTCCGCACCACCAGCCGCCCGCGCCAAAGCGTCGCCACGCGCGGTGACCGCGGCGACGGCGCTGCCGCGCCAGCGCTGGACGCGCGCTACGCAACGCGCCAGATCCAGCAGTGCTCGTCGGTGCAGGAGCTTGAGGATTTTGTGACGGCAGGCGAGTCTCTGACTGAGATCCAAGTGTCTCTCGCACTTCGGCAGCTGCACCGCATCGCCGAGCAAACTGCGGCGAGCGAGAGGCGCGGGAGAGACAGAGGCAGCGGCGGCGGCAGCGGTCTCCGCCGCATTGGAGAGCAGGGCCCATCGGGAGAGCGTTTGGAGGGTGCTGAGGTGGATGTGGGGGCAGGATCACCGCCGCCCAGGCGCGCTGCGGGAATGGTGTCCGCAGACAGGCAACAGCGGTGGCAGCAGCAACAACAGCACGAGCAGCCTCCGCAGCAGCAACAGCAATGGCAGCAATGGCAGCAGCAGCAGCAACAGCAGCAGCAGTGGGCGGAGAGCTCCCACAGCTCCCACCAGCCGCCGTTCTCAGATGGGGGCAGGGGCTTCAGCCAGGGTGTGTGGGACCAAATGCAGGTGCAGGCAGATGCGACGAGGCAGCAGCTGGACAGAAGCCACGATCAGCAGGGCTCCCGGCGCATCCGCGATTGCGGGGGAGGTCTGTACACGGGTTCCAGCAGAAACAACCCATCTCCCTCTTGCACGACCAAGCCAGCAGACAAGGGGATTGCAGCGAGCGGCGCCACATGTGTTCCATCAACGTCAGCAGCCCCATGGCAGGCTTCGCCCCAGCCCATGCAGCCGCGTGCCGCCGCAAGGGTGGTGGCGCCGACGCCGACACCGGCCCAGGCGCCAGCCCCGCGGTCGCCGACGCCATCGGTTGCATCGAGCTCGGCCGGCGGCGCCGCCGCCCGCAGGCAACGGATGGTGATGGAGCGGGTGGCTGCACTGCCCTCGGACCCGTCAGAGCTCATCTGGTTTGGCAGTCCGAGGCTGCTGCTCTATGTGAGTCCAAGGGCTGAAATTGCTGACCTGACAAGGCGCACTCCTGCGCCGTGCGTCTGCCATGCCTTTGGAGCGAGGTTGGTGATGGCGGCCAGCGCCATACGCACACAAAGAGGGGGAGATCTGAGCTGCATGAAACAACCAGCTAAGGGGGCCTCCCCAGTGCTGACGTCGCACCGGCCCGAAATACATCAATCGACTTGCTCACTGCCCGCAGGTTTTCCAGATGGTCTTCTATTGCAATTCGTTCCTCCTCACCCTCGCCTTTTTCGCTTTCTGGTGCGGCGTCTTTGCCGGCGTATTCCCCAATGCGCCGCTGCGCAGCTGCCGACCGCCCCAGCTTGCTCTGCCCCTGTGCCTGCCCTCGCTTGCGACAGCGCGTGCCCCCCGCCGCGCATGCCTCGTACATACCCCCTGCCAGACCATAACCTCGGACACCACCGATCCGCCCCTGCGCAGGCAAAAGCACGTCACGAACTGGATGTACCAGGGCGTCGGCATAGTGCCCACAATCATCCTGATGGTTGGGTCGGTCCTCCTGGCCGTCCACTCTGCGCTGCGCGTGCTGCCCCAGTTTGCGCTGATCGAGCCGGTCGGCCTCCACAGCCCCGAGGCGGTGCTCAGGCGGGCGCTCAAGGAGGGGGGCCTGCAGCCCGAGGAGGCTGCGGCGCTCGCGGAGTCACTCGGGTGGGTGGTTTTTGTTTGAAATCGGGGGCTAGGGCTTGGACATGGACAGGACCAAGGGCACGTTGCAGGTCTCGAGGCTTGGGGTCGAGGGTTCGCGCACGCGCGCGTGCGCGCGTGTGTGTGTATGTGTGTGTGTGTGTGTGTGTGTGTGTGTGTGTGTGATGAATAGCCATTTGTTGGCATTCGACAAACGCTTTAATTATATGTTAGTGGGGAGCGCGCAAATGCTGTCCTTGGGGCGTGTGGCAGTGAACCGGTGGGACCGCCCAACTACGCCCGGCCCACCTTGTGCAAGCAACCATCCCGCGCGACACAGCTAAACCTCCCTATCCCATCGCTCGCCGTGTCGTCTTTTGCAGTGTCGTGCTCGCTGAGGAAAAGGAGGCGCGCCGCCTGTCCAGCTTCATCCGCAGGGGCCAGTCCTGCTGGGGCCTGCTCCCTGCGTATTCCTGCACATCGAGCGACGGGCACGGCGACGACGACGGCGACACCATGCGCGCGCAGCGGCTGCGGCGCAAGCTGATGGCGATGCGGCCCGCGAGCAAGCGCCTGTCATACCGCAGGTCCCTTGAAGACATCAAATCGGCCAGCATGCTGCAGCTGCTCGACATGCTTGCGGCTGCCAAAGCTGGCGCCGCCGCAGAAAGCTTCGCTGGGACGTCTGGCGGCGCAGGTGGTACGAGCGCGGCGGGCGCGCCAGAGGCCGCGCTTGCGGGCTTGCAGCAGCAGCAGCAGCAGCAGCAGCAGCAGCAGCAGTGGGCGCCGCCAAGCGACAGCAACCCAGCCGTGCGGCTTGCTGCGGAGCCGCCGGCTGCGCCTGGCAACAGAGGCAGCATGCACCACTCCAGCTCCGCCCCCAACCTGCAGTCCCTGGCCGGCACGCCCGCCAACCCCATCTCACGCGCCAGCGGACCCGCCGCAGCGTCCGCCGCTGCCGCAGCCGCGAACCCGCTGTCGCGGCGCAGCGGTCCGGGGAACCCGCTGGCGCGGTCGAGCGGGCACAGCGCAGGGGGGCACAGCCCCGGGGTCGGAGGGGACCCAAGCAGCAACGTGGAGCTTGCAGGGGAGATGCTAAGGTGGGCCTGGGTGCCTGATTGAATGCGTGGAAGCCGGCTGAATGCTTTAAGTAGTGCTTTTGAACGGGCGGAGTTGCTTTCAGAGTCCAGCTGCTGTCCAGGACGGCCTGGGCCCGCGAGGCTTCTCGTCAGCTGCTGCTCGTCTGTGTGTGCGGGCTCGCCTGCCGGTCACACATTTGCAGCTGTCTTTGGGAGGGCCGCCCTCCTTAAACCTGCTTGGCATCTGCTGGCGGACCATGCATCACACAGCTAGAGACAAGCAGCTGCTGAGTTTTTGCGCATCCATCAGCACACATCATCCGGCATTGCCGCAATCACACACACGCAGTCATGCACATGTGCACATGCACTCGCACACACTCAAGATGGCTCCCACCACGCACGCGCACTCACACATTCACACATGGACACTTGGACGCCTACACACGCTCACACACACATCACACATGCACACACATGCACACACATGCACGCACACACACACACACACACACACACGTACATTGACACACACACATTCACACACACGCGCGCGCGCGCACGCAACACTCACACATTTACACATGCACCCATGTTCACATACACACACACCTGTTTGCAGGGCCCTGATCCTGAAACAAGCCCGCGCCGGCAAGCCAATGCCCCCAAGCAGTGCGTCATAAGAGCGTCGTCTCTGCTCAAGCGGCGTCAGCCAGGGCACAGACCCGCCAAGGTCATCCACGGCCACAGGGTGGCGCCGGTGACGCCTCTTACACCAAGCCGCAGTTCCTTGGAGACCAGGTCCGCGCTACGCCGCTTTTGGGCCCATCTCTCTTGAGGAGGGGCATTTGATTGTGAGCCACCTGCCTATTTTTGTGGTGGATGGTGGATGAGGCTTCCCGCGCTGCTTCCCCAGGGCGCGTGCTTGGAGTGGCAAAGCTGGTCTGCACGTGTGCCTGCGCAGTAGCATAGGCCTCAGGCCGCGCCAGTTTGAACCTGATGTTATGAGATTGACTTTGGCCTTCCGTTCTTACCACCTGGTTGAGAGTGCACAATCTCATTGCCAGCACAAATTGCACAGCATTACGCCGCAGTAGCCTTCATCCGCGATCCCGTTTCGAGCCGTGGCCCGGCCCGTGTCGCGGCCGACGTCGCTGCCGGCGCTGACAATCTGCCCTTCTGTTCCGGAGGCTGGGCTTGGACATAAGACAATCTTTTGCTGGCTGTGATGTGCACATGCACTCCTCGGCGTTCACTGTCCTGTGTGAGCAGGCCATGCCCTGCTGTGGAGTATGCCGTGGTACACGACCCTGTGGGTCAACGGCCTTTCTGTGTCCGCAGTCTCGACGCATTCGCGCCACCTTTGCGGCCACGCCATCAGCAGGCCTGCACGCGTCAAAACCCGGAGCAAAACAAGCATGCCGCTCGTGGCTTTGTGCGGCACAGCAAAGCACATCATGCTGCCCGCATTGAGTGCTCTGTGAGGCGCCGACCTCGCCGCCACACCCTCTGTGTTGACGCCCCAACGCCTCCCGTTGTGCGCGTGGCCGTCAATCCATAGCAGCGCCCTTGGTTCAAGTCCCAAGGCGATGCATAATGTTGCGTTCCTGCGCGGCACGTGCACACCAAAATCGAGACCGCACATTCCCTACCTGTGGAGCCTGTAGAGATGTGCGCTGCCCAGGCCCACAACCCAGCCATGTAGCCTGCGGAGCGCAAGAAAACCGCAATCAAGCCAACAATCAAGCCTTAATGTCAGGGGCGTGTGGGACCTGCACGGGACTTCCAGGCCACCAGGAATCGATGCTGTGACTGCTCTCTGACTCTCCCCGCATGGGAGTCTTTCAATGGCCGAGGAGCACCTCCTGCCCATTGCCCCCTCCACAGAGCCCTGTATTTGTGCAATGCCCAAGTGTCATGCAATGCAGTAGCCCTTTAGTTTCAACCAATGCAAGATGCCTGTGTTCTCTGCCTGCATGGTATACCGGCGCGTGTGCGCCTCCCCTCCCAAAAAATCAAATAGCAGCCCTGCACGCTGCACGCATATCATACTTGCTGCTTCGAATGCCCCAGCCTTGCAGTGAACGGTCGTAATCCGGTCCGCGGCGCCGCTTTGCATGGGATGCCCCAGTTTATCACATGTTCCGCCCAAGCTGTTGCTTCCAGCACCCGACACCTTTGCGGTGGTGCTTGAGTTTGCCAACCAGCCATTTGTTCGCCCACAAGGGCCCTGCATGCACCCACGCGTGCGCGCATTGCTGCAACTGCGGGCCTCTGGCTGTACCTACACCCATTGCCTGAGCCCTTTGTTAGGCCGCTGCACATTGTGCAAGCATTATTAATGATGTGTGTGCTGCACCACTAGCAATAAATCAACCTCAAGACTTGCATAGGTCGCACCACATTTCTGCTTATCCGCCGAAACTGCTTGTCAATGTTACATGATTTGTCACACAAGGACAATGGCACAATATAATAAAATTGGCAGATGTTGCAGCAGCGCAGTGGGCAAGATACAGTGTGTCCAAATGCAGGCAAACACCATTTGGCTCGAACAATGTTTGTCGCAGGACAGGCAGATGGCAATCTGTCGGTCAACAGGCAATATTGAATGGCAGCTGGACAGACAGGAGTGAAGCGATGACCAGGTCACAGGCGCGGCAGCCCTATTGCTGTGACGGCTCAGGCGCAAGTGTCCAAACCAATTGCCTGGCCAGCTCCCCACTCCCCTGAAAAGCTGTAGGTGCATGGGGGAAGTGCGGACCCTGTGTTGTGCAAACCAGACACGCCCCACACACCCGGCGCCGCACAGCCACTCGTATGCAACTGCACGTCCTCATGGCAGCAGCGGTTGCTGCTGCGTTATGCAGTGCACGTTTCCTCCCCCGAGCACAATCTCCCGCGTCTGCACGGCCACCACCTTCCTGTCTGGGAACGCCGCCTCGAGCACCTGCTGGGCCGCTGAGTCAGCATCGGGCAGGCCGAAGGCCGGCATGATGATCCCGCCGTTGCAGATGTAAAAGTTGGCGTAGCTCGCGGCCAGGCGCTCCCCGGCCTGCCGATGCTGCTTTCCGGAATCGTCCTGATGGCCCGAGGGGGTTGAGCGCCAGGCATGGGTGCGCTGGCAAGATAAGCATGCGAGGGCGCGTGACGCACGGCGGCATGCAAGGCATCAATTGTCCAGGGGTTGTCGTTTCATAAATACATTCCCCGCAATTCACGCTCCCAGTAGACGGCCCTCCCCACACATGGCAGCGGCAGGGGTGATACATGCCAATCTCAACCCACCAAGGTGTCCCACTCTTCCTGCGTCCGATGCAGTGGGGGTGGGCAGGGCAGCTTGATGATCTGGAGGGGCCTGCCCTTGGCGTCCACTTCCTTGGACAGAATGTCTTGGGCCTCGCGGCTGATGGCGTACTGTAAAAGGGGTGTGCGCAGGTGTGTAATGTATATGTGTGATGGATGTGTGTGTGGGGGGGGCAGGGGGGGGTTGCGGGCGCGCGATGACATGTGCAAAAGGGCAAGCATGCTGATGGGGCCTTGTAACCAACCATTGGAAAACAGACCTCTCAGCCGCCGACCCGCCAGCCAATGCCCTCTTGGCACAAGCTGGCCCAAGCCCCTCAGCATTGCAAGCCCGCCACCTGCAGCCCCATTTCACACTCAAAGTGAACCCCCGTCATTGACCGCCGACAGACCAATCAACTGCCTTTCAAATCCCATCAGGCTTCAAAAGTGGTGTATCCTTCTTGAATCTACCAGGTATTAAAATCCACGTCACCCCAAACAGCTGAGAAGTACCATAACAACTTATGGGCAGTACACAGGGCCAACCCAGGCCGAAAAGCATCGCCCCAGCTCAAGCCCAACCAAGCAATTCAAAAAACACACCTTGCTCAGTCTTCTGCTAATCAGCGCGTCCCCTGTCACAAAGAAACATGTAATCCAATTCACAGCCCGAATCCCTGGCAAAATCCAGGTGTTGAAGCCCCGTTTCAACAACAACCCTCACCTGCGGGTCGCTCTCATCGTCGCTCCACGCGAGCAGCACCACGCCAGGCCGCGCGAAGCAGGCAAAGTTGTCGATGTGGCCGTTGGTGTCGTGATCAAACGCCAGGCCCCTAGAGTTGCATTTGCGCATAAACACTGCGCCTGTCGGCTTTCATTGCATCGCTCGTGACGATGCAGCTCTGGATTATAAATTGGGGTTCACAATTCATATGCCCAGCTCCGACGCTCTCCAGGCGTGGTGCTGCATGCAACCGTTTGCTGGTCGCTGCAAATTCGTTCATGCAGACTAATTGTGAATGCAAGATTGAGGCCGCACCGCTTGCCCCTGCGCTCACTTCGGCAGCCAGATCACTTTTGAGACGCCGGTGTACCGCTTCAGCTCCGCCTCGATCTCGTCTTTAGTCATCGACGGGTTTCGGTTGGGGTTCAGCAGACACTCCTCGGTCGTCAGCATGGTCCTGGGATTTGAGACGGCACGGGGAGGAGTCATGGAATGTAAAAAGTCACAGCATCGGGGTAAACCACGGGGTTGAGTCATGGCGGTGAGTTGCGGGGTCAACGAAAACAACAACCAATCTGCAGGGGGGGCATACAAATCTGCAGGGGGGGCATACATGATGGGCTGAATATCACCCAGAGACTCTCCGGGCACCCCAACCAGCGGGTGACCAGCATCACCCTGTGCCCGCTGCCTTGCCCACCAATCGCCCCGCCTGCCCCCAGGCACACAACACAACCACGTCCATGCGGCATTGCTCTATTGAGACAGTGACTTTGAGGCACAAGGCTTGTCCCCGCATCCGACCTGCTCCCCAGCAGCATGTGCGCTGCTGCTGCCCCCAGGATCTTGCCTCAGCCGGCGTACACACACAAAAACACGACGAGGTACCAAAGTCCTGGAACTCCCCACGCCAGGTCAAACGTTGAATGGGAATACCCAGAGTTTTAAACCCCCAATGGCCTTGTTGCGCTGCCAGGCCTCACAGACACAACAGCCGGGGGCCCCCCGCCTTGACAGGGCAACAGCCTTCCTTCCTTCCATAGCGACCGACCCGGTGATGCCCGCGGGAACGAAAACTCGCGATTGCCTATCAACCAATCGTCAGAAACCATGGAATACCCCAAAGCCTGATCACTGCTCACCCCTCCCCGTCAACGTGGATGCTGCCCCCCTCCAGCACCATGTCCACTGTGACGTATGGCAGCTTCTCGGCGGCGCACAGCTTCTGGGCCACCTTCTTGTCCAGCTCGTAGCTTCCGTACAGGTCCCCCCACCCGTTGAACTTCCAATCAACGCCCACGGCGGTCCTGTTGGTGCGGGGGGTCGGTGCAGTGGGCTGCGGAGTGCTTGATCAGGGTGCAGGGAGGCGAAGGAGTGTTGGTCCGCACACGTGTGTTGGCACATTGGTGGTTACGCACGCGACAGAGCAGGTCAGGGCAGGCAGCCTTTGTTTTCAAGGTGTGACAGCCGGGGTATCACTCAGCTGAGGGCGTTTAAGAGGCTCAAGACGCGAGGCAGGCAAGCTGCAGGGGCAGCGTCTGGCGGGGCAGGCGTCCCAGACGTGCGTAGAGGGGCGCCGCTTCCCACCTTATGGGCGGCCTTGGGCAGCTGCTGATCTCCCCGAGGACCACCTAGGTGCGATGAGTCAGCATGTGTCATTTAGAAAGCTGAGTATGTGCAATAAATCTGTCCTTTACCGTGCCCGTCTCGGCCACACCCTCCCATACGAAGCGTGTGAAAGATCGCCTGGGAGTGAGAGCAGCCCAAAGTCATGGGGAAGGCTCTGTTGTTCCCGAGGCCCCCTTCTCACCGTGGGGCCACTGTCCCGCAGCCACGAGTCATCGTGAGTCATCTCGATCACCCTCACATGATCTGGCAGCGCAGCGCGCGCGTCCGACCACTTCGGGCGGCGGGGCGCGTCACAGGTGGCGGGGAGGGGACAGGAAGAGGGGAGGGGTCGTGGGGCCGCTGCTGCGCGGCAGAGGATGGCCGCACGACGCTGTAGTCGCTGTGCCTGTGGGCGCGCTGACAGTGCCCCGCGCCCCGCATCGACCCGCTCAATGCAGGATGGCATGGATCGCCTCCACCAGATTAGCAATCGCCTGATAATTGAAGCAGCCGTTACCAAAGCAGGCTCTGCTGCGGTGCGCCGCCGCAGCGGCAGCCGAAATCGGGCCGCAGTCAAACCCTCACCCCCCTCATGCAGACAGGGCGCGATCAGACCGCAGCTGCAAAGGCATGCAGCCCTTTCTCCCCTCACCAGCTCGGGGGCCGCGATCACGGTCACCGGTTCAAATTGTGAGATCGCTTTGATGACCTCTGTGAACGCCGCGCGCGCCGGCCCCGCGCCACTGCGCCACACGTCATATCTTTTGGGCCACGCCATCCAAGTGCCCACGTGCGGCGCCCACTCGGCCGGCATGGTCAGCTTGATGTCCCCGTCGGCCAGTTCGAGCGATTTGCCGTTTGGCAGCGTGATGGATGCGGACGCTGCGGCGGCGGACCCAAACGCACGCGCGCCTCCGCGGCCGAGCAGCCGGATCTGGCCCACTAGGGCCTGCTGAGCCGGCTGCATGGCTGTCTCGGCGATTGAAGTTGCGGGGCTGTCCAGATATCAGTGCGGTTGGTCGACGACTGGTGTGATCTGCTGCTGAGGGCTTTACACGCGGAGTGCCAGGGCGTTTTGTGATGTGATAAGCGCCGGTAGCAATGCTCGTAATCAGCGTGAAGCACTCAACACGTGAGAGCTGGGGCTTCTTTGCTACCATATAGACAATGTGGCTCTGGTGACCCTGGTGAGGTCACTGGTGTCGTAACAGAGCAAAGCAACGCAAAGCAAGAACTGCTGGCGGCCCTTTGCCTGCTATCATAAGTGCGTTTATCCTGGTGCAACCGCTTTGTGTGGGGTGGTTGTGGTTGCTTCGCCTCCAGCAGCCGAGCAGGCACGCAAGGCAGACATGGCTATATCGGGCCTTCTTCATCGCTTCATGCCCTCGCCATCGCCCTGTCGCTCCCGGCTGCCGCCGCCTGCGCCCCTGGGGACCCGCCGTGGCCGTGGGACGGTTGCGCCTGGCCGCGCTTATTCGTTCCTACACGGGTGCGGCCGCCCTTCCATACGCACCCCACTGCTTCACACTTCCGCGCTTGTCAAGGTGGCTGTTGGAGCGTGAAGTGACCCTTATGCTTTGCGCACCACTTGTTCCGGTCCCCTTGTGGGCCCCACGTCTTGTGCATGTTGTGCCTTGCTGCACCGCCCGCCACGCAGTCGGGGGTGGGGGCATTATCGGCGGCTGTGTGGCCACTGACTGCCACATACAACGCCACATGCTCAAAAGCACCACCTGCATCATACAAATGCTGTCAGTGGCGCTAGCGCTAGCTGTTGTCGTGGCCTGTTGCTGTCTGGTGACATTGCTTGCTGCCAGAAATTGTGGGAGCTGTGTAACAACCAAAACAAAGAAGCAGAAGTGATTGGATAGCCAGGTAAGCCTTCCCGGCGTCAGGCACGGGAACAAAACATCACAGTGCCGGTTTCGAGCAAGGGGTGCGGAATGCAGACCAACACCCGGGGCGGGGCGGGCCCGACCGTCCAGACAGCGGCCAACAAGAGATCAGCAGGAGTGGGGCGGCGCAGATGATGCGGCCGTGCTCGGCGCATGCGGCTTGCAGAGTCGCACTCATGACGGTGCGAGGCCGCCAGGCTGCCCGGCAGCTGCTCAGAACTTCTTGGCAGAAGTCAGGGGGATGGAGCCCTTGATTGAGATGGCCGTCCTGTCAGGAGACTGACTGAAGGCGATCCCGGCCGTCAGGTCCGTGCCGACGTAATTCGCGAGCTGCGGGCATGCCAAAGCGCATGGAGGTGTCCAGTCAGGAGGCAAGGGAGAACAAGGCAGAGGGTGTGCACGTGCAAGCCTGCGTGCTGTGCACATGTATGTTGTGTGTGCGTGTGCGTGTGCGTGTGCGTGTGCGTGTGCGTGTGCGTGTGCGTGTGCGTGTGCGTGTGCGTGTGCGTGTGCGTGTGCGTGTGCGTGTGCGTGTGCGTGTGCGTGTGCGTGTGCGTGTGCGTGTGTCTACGCGTGCTTGTATGTGTGTGTGCATGCCGTGACAGCGGTGTCGCCTGGACTACCTTATCCAACAATTGCCAATGTTGCACATCCCGCATCAACTCAAGAGTGGTGGAGACATCACCTACTGGCTGCAACGATCAGAGGCACCGCGTGCTCCAACCCCCAACCCAGACACTGGCCCCACTTGCCTGGATCCTCCACTTCTGGCACAGCAGCGTGAAGGTGGGGACGTTGTTGATATTTTTCAGGGCCAGGTTGCAGGGCGACACCGAGCGAATCGCCGGCAGGGCGGCAAGGGTGGTCACAGGGATCCCGAAAGTGCCTGACAAGTCCTGGCCAGCCACAAGCCTGTTCCACCTGCAAGGGTTGAAGTCCACAGAGCCAGAGGCGAATTTGTACCTGGGCCTGAAAGCCCTGGAGCCACCCGGCGCGAGCCTGATGTTTGAAGCGGCCACCTGTCGGCGTTTGGCGGCGAGTGCACACGGGGCGCGGGCATGGGGCGGGGCGGGGCGGGGGTATCCGTGAGGGGGTGCAAACCATTGCGACGGAAGGCGGGGTCTAACCCCCCCCCCCCCCCCCTTTGTGGCTTGGGAGCTTCGGCATACAGCAGTTCGTGAAGCTCGTTCATGCTCTGTGCGTGCCCGCCTGCATGACTCATCACCCTGCGCGGCTGCGGCAAGTGGCTGGAAAGCGCTTCGATGCATGTCGGGTTGCGAATGAATGCGTGCGACTGAACGACTAAGGCGACCAAGGGCCCCACCCCTACCGCCTCCCGAACCTCACATCAAGGACAGCCTGGCCGACGCTGAAGGCGGCGGTGACGTTGGCGGGCTTGGGGGCGGCGACGCTGCCCGAGAAGGCGGCGATCGACACTGCGTGAGCCACAGGGCAGGCAGAGTGCCGCGAGAGAGCCGCGGGCCATCAGCAAGCAAGGCGATCACAAGGGCCCAACAGATCGCGGCGTGGGCAAGCATGGACACCCAGCACCGGCTGCAGTGTGCTCAGCTGGCCGCCGTCCACATGCAGGCCACGCGGTTTCACGTCTGTCTTGGCTGGCCAGCAGGTCTGTTCGGGTACGCCCAGCCGGCCTGATTTCGATGCCGCAGGCGCCGCTCACCGCCAAAGCCACGGGTGCTGCCGCTGGTGGGGATGCCGACCACAGTGATCCCCGCGACGGCAGTCTTCAGGGCTGAGTAGCCGGGGTCCTTCTTATCGAGCGCGCTGTTGCTGAAAGAGCAGTTGGTGCCCTTGGGGAAGACAATCAGGATCTTGCCAGAGACCGCGCCGCGCTGCGTGTCGTCTGCCGACCGCAGGGTGGCAGGAATATTCAGGGTCTTGTTCTTGCCGGCGGCGTTGGTGTACCGGGCGACGTGCAAAAACCTGCGAGAGGGTTATGTGCGGCGGCAACGTTGGTTAACCAGTTGTAATGTGCGATGCAAGGCGGCAGTGCACGAGTCCGGTGCGCATCTCAAACACCACACGCGTACGCAATGAGAGGGTGTTGGCAGGAGAGTTGCCAACATGCGGAGCCGAGGCACCCCATCGCTTTTGGACGTTTGCCAAGCATCGCGCCTGCGTCTGTGCTGATTGCAAGGATAGGGCCATTTGGCCCATCCCTTCACGCTGGGCGTTGGGGTCACGCCGACGGGTGCGTGACCTGCAGATACATGCTAGACATTGCCCAGTGCCCCTGGCAGAAGTTCCCTGCCGCGCGCGGCCCTCAGTGGCTCCATCCCCGCGCACACGCACACTCACCTGCTTGCGTCGAGACCCACACGCGCGCCGGCTGTGAGGGGCAGCTCTGCAGGGCGTTGATTGTTTTGTGAGGGCGTGGCAACGAAGGGATAGTTCTGAGCTCTCATTCCTACTGCAAAGAGTTGTGTAAAGTGTAACGTGTAACTGATTTCGCCGGCAGGCATGAGGGGAACCCGATTCATGCGGCACAGGTTGGTTGCTGCCCTGGCAGCGTCGTTGTGACCTGGGCTGGGCTGAGGCCGCGACCCCAACACCATCGCATGTGTCACCACAAAAGCCGCAATTGATGTTGAGCGCCGCGCTGATGCCGCTGGCAGCACCCAGACATATGTTTTCTTGGCACCCATACATGTTTTTGTACGCTTGCACAGCACCAGGCAGTAAACAACCTCAGCAGGGTGCCCACCCACAACACAGTCGCCTGTGGTTTGCGCCAGCGCCGGCGCCGCGGCGGCGATCGTCAGCAGGAGGGCAGCAACGGTTGCCACGGCGCGGGAGGGCTTCATCGTGGAAGAGGGTAGCCGGGTGCTCCTGTGCGCACGCGTGGCCGGATGGGTTGGCAGCGTAATCAGGTCCTTCGGTGCATACCAGCTTGCGCAAGGGGCACTGGACGATGACGCGCTGCCCACACGGTTCAAATTTACAGCTGTACATTCAGCTCTGCGCTGGTATGCTGCTGCAGTCGTGAGCTTGTGGCGTAGATGAGTTTGGTGGCAGCACACCTGGGGGCTGCAGCTGATCTACACCAGCAGAGGGTGACAGAGACGACGGGCTTGCGCAATGTGATGTTGACTACGGTGATGAGGTCGATTAATTGATGGATTTACAATAAGCTCTTCGCAAGCAGTCGCTAAAGAATGTCCCGGACAAATGGCGCGAAAGGTTGAGCCGAGGTGGCCGGTGACTCTCGGCCACCCATCCCGACCACGCGTCGTGCGACGTTGTACGTTGAAAAATATTTGATCACGCATAAGCAATGGGTCATGTTTGAAAAGGCACCTGACCTCGCAGCGCGGCACCAGGGCCAGACAACCTGTGACTCAGTGACACAGTCCACAAATCACTTGCTTTCATGCCTTTTCATGCAATTATAATCAAGCAAACGGGGGACATTCATCCATCACTCGCTCACACTTGCAGGTGAAAGGACTGCGTGTCCCTGCCCGGAGACGGCTGCGCCTCAGTACTCCAGTACGTTGGAGGGGGGGCAGGGGAGGCTGCTGAGCTGCGTGGCACCCTTGGGGGCTTTTCGATGCGTCTGCACCAAAGTCATCAACGTAATCTTGTGTGCATGGCACGGGTCCACACAGGTCTGGCTAGGTGCCAGAATCACACCGGCCTCAAGACCAGTGCTCATTTCCGCAAACTTGTGTGGCCAGCGGTCGGGCCTGCCAAATGCCAGGGGTTGGCCCTGCCAACCATTTGTACCACATGATAAGGGACACCTTACATTAGCATGTGTACGACATGTATCAGCATATCCGTGACTGAAGGGCTTGCTGGGGGCTATGTTGCTTGTGAGCGTGTGTAGACCGGCTCACTTGAGGCATTTGTTTGCAGGCATACATTCGGCTGCCAAGAAACACAGCAACGATGTGCGATAAATACAGTGCTGTGCGTGCTGGCAGCAGGAGCGGTGACGAGCACGTGACATCCTACTCGCGTGCTGCGGCAACCCCCACTCGGCATGTATGACAACAACAACACCGCAATGCTGCTGCTGGCGTCTGGTGGTTCTGATTTGGATAGGCTGTAATTGTGATTTGGTTGCGCTTTATGTTCTTATGGAGCTGAACGCGTGTGCACCAAGTCACCTTATCATATCATATCCACATCCCGACACCGCCTTTTGGCAATTTCACTGCAAAGGATGTTGCGACGCGCTTCAGAGCAAGCAGCGGGCTGCAACCGCGACTTCCCTTGCCCCTCAACTAGCGCTGCCATCATTGTAACAGCAGCTGCGGCTTGGTCTCGAGTTGCCCTGCACTCTGCCATCGTGCTTGCACCTCAATCAGGACTGTGTTTTTGTTACCATGGGCTCGGGCCCTTCACAATTGTGAAACTCGGCTGCAAAATCAGCCTGCTCAACCCAACGACCACATCCAAGCAGCAGCCACGACCAAAAAATTCGACCGCAGCTCTCAAAAACGCAGGGCTCGGCCCCCACCAGCCTTGCAGCGCCATGCAGAGCGCGAGGGCAGGCGGGTGCATGCGAAGCGAGCAGGGGTCGGCAGGCAGTTACCACGGCATCTTGATGCCGAAGAAGTTGCCAGCCTTCGGCTGGAATCGCTGCACCAGGGCCTGGGGGTTGATAGTGTACAGTGCATGGCGCAGAAATTCGGCATAAAGTGGAGAGGGGAGGGCGCGAGGGCGAGCACAAGCGGGCCAGCGCAGGGTAGGGGAGGGTGAGCTGGAGCCCCACAACCCGGCGCAGGACAGCACAAAGCAAGGGCCCCGGCAGGCAAGGCACAGGCATATGGCAAGGCTAGAATGGGCCGCGCGCCTGCCCCAGAAAAACCCAGCGCAGCGCCGAGGCTAACAGCACAGCGTTTGCGCAACACTCAGCCCCACACCCAGGCGGATCCCAATAGAGGTCTGCGAACTTCTCACCGAGAACCGGGGGTCCTGCCTAATCAGCTCCAGGTCGGGGTCGGTCAAGATCTGGTCAAAGTCCGCGTAGCCCGCCTCCATGGACGCTATGTGTGGGGGGGAGGGAAAAATTTTTGAAAAGCAGGGGGTGGTATGGAACGTTTGGGCCCAGGTCGTGCTGAACGGGGTATGCGGCGAATGTGGATGGACGTGGGGCCGCCTCAGGCGGAGCCGCCAGGAGCGCAGACACAGGCTTGCAGCGCGTTCCGTGCGGCCGGCCCTGGCCAGCGGCAGCCAAGCCTCAGAGCCAGGCGCCGCTCGCGAGGCAAACGCCACAGCATAACGCATCAGCTCTACCGCAGCCCACAATGTACAGCAGCGCCTCTGGCCGCCACGCAGGCAGAAGCACGGCCCCCGGCGCACCTGACAGCGCCAGCAGCCCCTCCCGCGCCTCCCCCAGCCGCGAGTGGCAGCACGCGATGTTGAACAGCGCCGCCATCTTCTCGCCGTCGCTGACGAGGCGCGGCTTGTCCCTGAAGCGCTTCACGCCAGTGCCAGGCAGCGTCAGCGCCTTCTGGAACACGGGCAGCGCCTGGGCCCACCTGACGGAAGCGGATCAGCGTGGTTATGGGGCGCAGGCTTGATCATTGGGACCCATGGTGCACGTGTATTGTGCGTGTATGAGCGTGTGCGTGTGTGAGAGAGGGAGAGAGAACTTGTGTGTGTGTGTGTGTGTGAGTGCGTCCGTGCGTGTGTGTGTGTGTGTGTGTGTGTGTGTGTGTGTGCGTGTGCATGTGTGTGCGTTTGTGCATGTGTGTGTGTGTGTAAGTGCGTGTGCGTGTGTGCATATGTGTGTGTAAGTGCGTGTGTGTGTGTGTGTGTGCGCGCGCGCAGGAGAGCCCCAGGGGCGCGCATCGCGAGGCGCAGGAGCCTGCTACCTGCGCGTGGCTGTGTGCCGTCCAGCAAAGGTCGCACGCCCAGCGCGGCTGCCGCTTGGGCGGCTACACGCACAGACGACGTGCTGCTGTTGCGACGAGGGCGAGCGATCAGCGGGGCCCCGGGGCGCAACCGCTCACTTGTCCTGCTTGCAGAGCACGAGGCCCAGATCAATGGCCTCCTTGGCTGTCTCGGGCTCGTCGAAATCGAAGGCCGAGGTTGACACGTCCCTGGTCTCATCAGCAGCCCTGGTTGAGTTGGTGTGTGGGTGGTGTTGTGAGGTGTTGAGGTGCAACACGCGGACCGCCGCTCCGCTGCCCGATCACTTGGAGGTGGCAGGATTCGGAGTATCTTCTATGGCGGCATACATCAGGGACAGATCTGAGGGAGTGCCTGCTTGTGTGAGGCAAGATCGGTGCTCGTACTATGCGCCCCATCTGCTGGGCCACAGACCGCAGCGGCCGCAGCGGCCGCAGCGGCCCCTTTCCACTCGCCAGCAACCCTTTTTGTGTCAATGCCAGCAACTGACTGGATATTTTCGTGCTCCGACGGCCACTGCGCCTGCACACCAGGGACCCCGTGACAGCTGCCACAGCTCAGCGGTGGTGCTGGAGCGGTGCCTGCGCCTGCGCTTGCACAGGAGGCGCTCACCCTGCCCTCACGCCAGCCCGAGACGCCCGCAGCCGCTGCGCCACGCTGCTGCCGCTGACGCTGCGCTGCTGGACCCCTGCTGCCGCTGCCTGCCGCGTCGAAAAGGGAGCCCTGGCCGCGCTGTGGTGGCGATGAACAAGCATGTGGCGCACCGCAGGTGTGCGAGGGGTCCTCCGATTAATGTGCGGAAGGAAGTACAGTCGTGCGCATGCACACACCAGCAGCATCCACGCTCGGTGCCGCCGTGGCACCCTGCCCTGACGGTTGTGCCGCTGAGGAAAGTTGCAGCCCGTAAACTTACCTTTGAGACCTTCGTGCGCCTGACCGCACTGCCACCCGCTGTCCCGCGCTCAGGAGGGAAGCCATCTTTGCAGTTCCCGATCTACAGAGATTCCTACGCTGCTCTCAGCAGTAGTTTCAAAGCTGCGTAATCTCACTTTGAGACAAAAAGAGGCTTGTATGGGTGCTGCTTCACGCTCGGACTGTAAATGCTGTGCCTCCCTGTATCCTTGGTTTGATTGCAGCATGTTCAAGGAGGCGTACGTCCGCTTGAAATATACTCTCATCTTACCGACCGCTCATTCTACTCCCGACCTATTGCACCAGCGCGACGGCTGCCTCCACCCTCCCTACCAAGCAACCATCAGTCCACTAGCTCAACTTGGTCGATATTTGGCATATTAGATTTCATTTTAACCTGCACCACAAGCAGGGTTGAGCCCAGCCAGCTGCACGCGGCGGGCAGCAGGAGCAGCAAGTGCGGGGCGGCAGCACCCTGGGCTGGAGCCCAGCTGCACGCTGCAACTCGCAGGCCACCTACACAGGCGCCGTGCTTTGTACCGGACACCGTGAACCTATATACAACAGCCGCCTGCTGTGGAGCGGCGCTGCGTTGGGCGCCTGCGTGCCGCCGTGGACTCGCCGAGTGAGTCGCACCCCGACCAAGCGCAGTCAGCAGCAGTGGCAGCGGCAGCGGCTGCGGCAACGCCAACAACATGGCGCCGCAGCAGCAGAGCCTGGTGACGCCGCTGGAGCACACGGGCATCGGCGCAGCGGCGGGGATGTTTGAGGTCTGCGTGATGCAGCCGACCGTGGCTTTCAAAAACGCCCTGCAGGTGCGAGGTCGTCGTCGGTGATGTTCTTGTGGATGTTGTTGATTTCAGCGTGCATGCGCGGCCTTCCAGCTGCATGGGGACTTGAATACTGCAAAGGATTACCGCATGCGCATGAGGCGGCCAGCTCCGCAAGCCGTGTGCAGCCGCGGCGCCGCATGCGGGCGCACACAGACGCAAAAGCGGGCCCCGGACGCATACGTGTGTTTGTGTTCAAGCGCACATGCTGAGCGTCCAACTGCGTCGCTGCGCCGCAGGAGGGGCGGCCGCTGCCGCGGACGCCGCTGGCGCTGTACAGAGGCCTAGTGGTGAGGGTGGCGGCGCGAGCGTGCCCACTGCCGAGCGTGGCTCTCGTGGAACGGCCTTTTATGGGGTGTTCCTGTATGCGTGACGGCGCGATATGTTGGAGCATAAGGGCTGTGCGTGCTCTGCGGGTGCTGGGGGGAGGGGCCGAAGGGTGGCAGGAGCGGCGGCACCCCTTGCGCGCGCTGTATACCACTTTGTTTCCAAGCATCCACGGGGCCGCGCGCGCGAGAGGCGTGGCGTTTAGACGCGCCTTGGGCTCGTTTTGAAGGCGTGGATGTCCTGCATGTGAGCAGCTGTCTGGCGGCCCCTAAGCTCACGGTTTCGTCCGCATCCGACCAGCCAGGCCTCCAAATCACGGCACGCCCCCGCTCATCCGTCCGCCCGCCGCGCGGGCGCCGCCCTCCCATATTCCTCCTGGCGCCACCCGCCCTGCCTCACAGATCAACTGCTGTAGCATGGCCCCCATCACGGCCAGCCAGTTTGGCACCAGCCGCATCCTCGAGAATGCGATCGTCCAGTGAGCGGAAAAAGATAAAGCCGCACCCCTAGCGCTCGCCCGGCCAGCTGGATGGTGCTCTAATTTTGAGCCGCCGAGCCCGCCGTGGCTGCATGTGGGTCTGCCCTGCCAATTCGCATCGCTGGGTCGCGCAGCAGCAGGGCCTGACTCCAAGAGCAGCGGCCGCGCTGTGCGCTTTCACCCAAGCCTCCCATTAAAGGCTCCTGATGCCCCATGTGCACCCCATCAGGTATACTGGAAATGACATCACCAGCGTGGGGCGCTTCGCGAGTGCGGCGGGCGCAGGCAGCGTCAGCGCGCTGATCGGTGGGCGCGCGGCTGCAGCGGGCCGAGGGGACGCGCTGCGCTGCCCCGCCTTACTTGCTGTGTCTGCAGCCCAACAGCGGCGTGACGGCAATCGCCGCTGTGGCCTCTTCTCATTGGGGGTCTTGCAGGCACAGCATTTTTGTAGCCAGCGGGGGGCAGGCACATGGGGAGGGAGGACGGGCAAAACACGGTTGCAGCCCCGGCCTTGGCCCTGCTCTTCAATACCCAGCCAAGTTGGTTCGTTTAGCCGCTCCACATTGATTAGCGCCGTGCTTACACAACCGTCTGTTGCGCAATGTGCCTTCCCAGGGTCACCCACCGAGCTGATTATTATCCAGCAGCAGGTGCGGCAGGGGCGGCCAGGAAGCTTCCTGGGCGGCGATCGGTCACCGCGCTGCGCCTGCCGCTGCCCGCACCCTGTTGCACTGCCCGCACGCCGCGCCCACCCACCTGTTGCCTCTGCCACACCGCCCACAAACCTTGCCCTTTACCCCCCACCCAAGCTCGGGGCCGTTGCAAGATCATCCCCCACCCCCGGCACCCTTCCTGCCCTGATGCCAGTGCGTCAATGCCCTTGTATCATCATGTCATGCCGCCCCCCCCCCAAAAAAAAAACGCCCCAGAAAAACCTGACGCCCCTGGCCACCGAGGTCAGGCGGTTCTTCAGCACCTACTCCGCCCACTCAATTTACCGCGGCCTGGTGCGTGATCTTACTGCGATCTGGTGGTGATCTGGGCGCAGTCTGGGTGTCTTATGTTTAGGGAGAGCGGCGATAGACCGCTGCCCCTGCTGGAAGCTGTGCTGCGCACCACCGTTGTCCCTTCCACCACCAAACGCATCGCGTCCAGTGTTTGACCTTTCAGCGCACGTTTCAACGCACCTGCCAACAGCGCGTCCTGCCCACGAATCCAGACGAATGCATACACACCCAACCCCGGCGCCAACCAGTTTGCAAAACATAACCCTGCCCATCCAAACCCCAGGCTCCCTGCATCGGCCGCGAGACGCTGTATGCCGGCGGCTACCTGGGGCTGTGCCCTGTGCTGTACGACATACTGCGCGCCAAGGTGCGCGCCCGCGCCTGGCGCCCGCATGCCGCACACGGCATGGGTTTTGGACCAAGAATGAGGGGTCTGCATGAGCTTGGTTCCTCATCTTGGTCTTCTGAGGGTCCCTGGGGCCCGGTTGTCTCAGCACCACATAGGACACGGCGGGGCGGCGGCAAAAAGCCTCGAGCCGCGGCGCAGGTGGCGGGGCCGCGGCCTGCGCCGCGCCTGGCGGTCGCGGGCCCGGCAGTGAGCGGCGGCACGCGGGGCTGGGCTACTGCGCGCGGGAACTTGCTACTAAACACCCCACTTCCACCCCAACGTTTCCAAACCTTCCCGCCACTTTTCAAATCCATTCGAAACGCACCCCAGGAGTACTCCACCAGCAGCGCGATGATCGTGTCGGGCATCGTGGGCGGCGTGTTTGCCTCTGCGGCGTCGCACCCCTTCGACACTGTCAAGACCCGCATGCAGGCGCGTGCGTGGCGCTGCGAAGGGCCCACCCTTGCCGCGCGGGCTTGACCCTTTCCCTTTGCGGGGCTCCAATCCTGCTCGTTGCCCGTCCTCCGCTGGCTCCTTGCGCTCTGTGACTGGCCACGTTGCCTGCCTATCAAGTCAAGCATCAAATGCAGCTCAAGTCCCCAGGTCCCAATCATGATTTTGTGCCCAATGCCAATCACGCGGCGGCCCCAACCTCCTACTCACCCGGACGTATGTGTACATATGCCCGGGGATTTGACGCCCCCCACCCCTCAACTTTACCCCCACCCCTCACCCCTACCCACAC